CAGTCGGCTAAATTTCAGTTAAACAAATAAAAAAAAAAGCATTCATACCGCAGAAAATAAAATTCACCCCTTCAACTTGATGTACACCCCAGCAGTGCGTGTGGCGCCCTCCCTCTCATGGGCTGTAATACTACGATGCCGGTGGGGGCGCTCAAACCCCCAGAACTGAATCTCTACTTTATTTATTTATTTATTTTCAATCCTCTCTGCTCTCCGCCATGACACTTTCCAGTCCATGCTTTTTTACTGAAGGAAACCATTTGAAATGACTTAGGCTTCAATTAATCCCAAATTCTTCACGTCCCATAATAAGTTTCGTCCACTTGCTCCACTTGCTAATATATTAATTAAAAATTTTTAGACGACTTTTTTATTTGTGAAGAAAAGGAATAAATGGTGGAGTAATTGGGTCTGGACTGGTGGCAACATTGTTGACTATATTTTCGTGTTATTCATCGGATTATCCAGATTTATTCGCAGTGTTCTCTGCTTTAGTCTCATATAGTGTTGTGACGACCAATGAATCAGGATGGATCCTCGGGCATCTCCAGGAGTCATCAAAAAAGAGTGAATACTTCTAGAAGAATTTTTACGTGGATTGTCAGGACAAATTGAAGTATCCTCGGTGAAGGATATTTCTAGTTCAAATTGTTATTTCATGTGTGTAATTGAATTCATGAGAACAGTGGAAAATCGTGGGACTTAAGTTGAGATGGCAGATTTTGATGCTATTTATGAAGAGGAAGAGGAGAATGAACAAAATTCGGAAGATCATTATGTTACCATTGTGCCAGATCCAATCGTCGTTCGAGGGGCTGGAAATATGACAGTGTAGGTTTTAATTCCTTCTTTGTTGTTTTCTTTGTCCTCTTGTCTCCCCACGCTGCTGCTTCGTATGATTTCAAGGTCCCTGACCCTTCCAATACTCCACCACATCATCGAGGCTCGAGGAATAATGCAATATTCCGAATTTATTCATTTTCCTGGGCCAATTTTTCGGTCTGACGTGAGATTATTTTTATCTCTCATTTATGGGCTCCCATTGGACCGTCGTTAGCCTCATCTAGCATAAAAAATATTTTCCGAACATATTTTATATGTCTCTTCTTTGTTCACAGGTTTGGACTGAGCAACCGGTTCGAGGCTGAATTTCCAAATGGTCTTGTTTCCAGAGTTGCGCCTGAAGAATTTAAAGCCACAGTCATGCGGGTTAATAGTGTACTCAAAAAAACATTGCCGGTTAATGTTAAGTGGCTGTTCTGCGGATGTGTCTGCTGCTGCTGCACACTGGGGTGTTCATTGTGGCCGGTTGTTTGTTTAAGCAAAAGGGTATGTGTCTCGTCCATTTCTCTAGCTCAGGAAAAAAAAATAAAACGAGTATTACTCTACTGTGCAATGTGTAATTTTTCGAGAAATATCTCAGTATTTTTTTTCGTCTTTTACACTTTGCCACTGAATTCAAGGCTGAATTAAAAATATCTTTCAAGCATATCCCTGAGTTTTGCATGAAAAAAAAAGAGTTGAAGCAGTAATGATATCTGAATAATTCTGTTGCGATGAATTTACAGACGCAGCATTCGTTGAATAAACTTCTTGAGTGGGAAAATAGTCGACTTTACCATAAACTGGGATTACACTGGAGATTGACGAAGCAGAGGTGTGATAGTTCATCGATGATGGAATACGTAAGTGAAGCCTTGCACCTACTATTTGATGGAACTGGATAAAGAGATAAAAATTTTTCAATTGAGAACTGCGTGGGGTACGAGTGACGATTTGACCTTTACTGCCACCCACTCTCTCTTGAGGGGGAAATTCAGGGGTTTTTCGGTTGGAGGAGGAGATTAAAAATTCAACGCCAAGCGAGTGAAACTCTAAGGAAGTTTAATCAACGTTTCTGGCAATATTTGAGTGGCTGGAGGTTGAAGTTTTCGAAAAGTGACAATCGAGACTTTCTCGTTCTCAAGCAATTGCCAATTAATTTTCCAGCTCACCCCTCATGAGTAAAGTAAATATTTTCTTAACGTTGATTCTTGTTTTTCAGGTACTTCTCATTGAATTTATCCCAAAAATTCCCATATACCGGCCTGACTAGGCCTCATACCATAATAATTCGAACAAATTCAAAGATCCCTGGGATTCACCTGAGCTCGAAGCAGCAGCATGTCTGCAATGAGAGAATATTTTTGTAGACACGAATCACGAAACTACATGTCAGGGTGCGTTGTAGATACATCGGTTATAGATCGATATTAATTCACATGAAACAATGCAGTAGATTACTGCCTCTGTGTTTTGTTGAAAATAGTGGGTAAACTTTTATACTAAAGCGTAATGCATCGGGAGACAACAGTTTATTACACATTATCACTTTCATTATTTCTATCGTTGAAAGAGAATGCACATAATTATATTCAGAAAAAGTGGGAAAATGCAAATTTCAGATATTTTTAGAACTACCCGGAACAAAATAATAAATCGGAAATTGATTAGTGATAAGGGAATTTGCGGACAGGAATTATTCCATTTTATTGGCTATTCAATGAGACGAATGAATTTTCATTTCAAAATAAAATGTAATATTCTTTTGCCCCTATTTCCGATGTTATGTTATATGTATTCTATTCTTGAGAATAAATTTTAGAGGAGACGACTGGACTCTTCAGGCCGTGGGAGATTAATTCAGAGCGAAGTGTTGGGAAAAGGTTAATGTCCGAATTTTGTAGAGAATATTGATTTCAGGAGGGAATCTACTGTATTTTTACGAAAATTTAACCAACAGAATAAGTTCGGTGAAATTTTCAACTTGAATCGATATTTTTTTAGATAAATTGACAATTGAGAACATATTACCAAATTGTTCATGGCAAGAGGACCACAATCGTCTTATTTGCCTCTTCCAGCGTTGATCGTGTCATTTATATATTAATATTTCACGTTTTCACATCATTGAATTCGTTCACATCGTTGAAATCACACGTTGCACGCAGTCTTTCATCTCAGTTAACATGAGCACGAAATCTTGAGGAGAAAATCCACCGGTAAAGATTTCAAAAGTGATTTCTGTCCTTAGAGGGCTGTGATGAGAGTTAAGACTAGCGTTATAATTTATTTGAAATCAAGGGCCTTTTTAAACATGATACAGACATCGTTTTATCAACTGCAGCGTTGAATAGTAGAGATTTTTGAAATTTTTTGACGATTATTTGTTGCATCGCTTTACCTTTGTTGCCTTCGCCAGAAAAAAGTCGTCGCTAGATCGACGGACTAACGAGAAAATGATCTCGAATTTGTTTAAGCAATATTTTTCATTGTATGAATAATATAAGTATGAAAAAGTATACAGCGGGAAAATGCCCGTGATTTTTTTTTGTTAATTGTACGTTGTTGGTGAATTATGTGGAGAACACGTCAGCAGGTGATTTATTATTTAATCCCTGAGTGAGAAATATCATTCGAGCGAATATTAGTCGTTCGTCATCGAGTAAAATCCGTGAAAGAAAAAACTGATAAAATGATAAACGTGGTGTCGACGTGTGCCTTTGCTCATTAATCATTTGAGAACCTAATGTATAGTCATCAGTTCCTAAAGGAGATAATTGTAAATAACTCATTGCATCAGTTGTAATCGAACGCTTACATCGTAGAATTATCGATACGTCATATCAGAAAGGATAGGGGTGTAACTGAAAATAATTCATCGTTCTGCTTACCATTGAGAGCGTAACGCAGCAGATTAACGTGATATCGAACGAATAAAGATAACTCAAATGAATTTTCTTCATTTCTTTATTCCATCAGCTCCAAACGTCAATTCTCCTTATTTCAAATTTTCACACACACCGATGACTCAACGATGTATTTATATCGATGAATGGAAATGTAAACTCTCGTTTTCGTTGAGCACTCTTGATTTTCCCTTTTATGTAATCCCCTGGAAAAAGAAATCGTCAGGGATGAACTCATCCAAATCCATTGACGCTCGCCCTCGAGAGGCTTTCCTATTTTATAATTTCAGCATGAATATTCCGAGTGTACATATGTCTTCAAAGATCGTGGATTTGTCACTCATCATCTGTATTATCCGCGAAGAAATGATATTTACTAAGAAGAATTCTGTGTTATGGTAATTGACCACAGGTGTCTTCGATCAGCGTCTTAGCAAAAGAGCCATTCGTTTTTCAGTCATGTAATAGGTGAGATACATCTCGAGTGTTTGGTAGTATCATTCAGTATTCTCGAGAAATTCCTCCGAATTGTATCGTGAATATATTTCCGTGTTTGCACCAATATCGGAATAATGCGAAGTAAGAAAAGAAGGTCTCACAGAGGTGCAATGAGTTGCTAGATTTATACTATCCATCACATTACACGTGAATAAATTAGGTTTTAATTACTACGTATGGCAGCTAAGGCTGGTGCGATAGATAACGACTTATCCAGGTATGTAATTTTTTTTTGGGACGATTGAATGGAAATATTACTACTCCTACCAAGAATTTTTACATAAGGCTGTTAATTTACACTGCAACAAATCCTTAGAAATGGAACCACTTGTCCGATTCCACTGGAAGTCCTGGATTTTCTTCACGACTTCACTCGTCCCGATTTGGAGACAGTCTGGCCCTGCCAAGTCCGAATCTACTGGATGAATTTGCAGCCCCTGGTGCACGTGGTACGTTCACTCCTGACGTACGTAACACCATTGATAATAGTCCTAGGAGTTACCCTCAATGTTGTCTCCTTCGGGATGCTGACTGCTCTCGTCCTGTGCGATTCCGGACTGTCTCTCTACCTTCGTGCACTCGCAATATCAGATAATGGGGCATTAATTTTTAATTATGCAGTGGGTATCGCGAGATCCCGGTGGACCGAGGTCAATACTCTATTCATGGTAATTAGATCGGCAGGTGAAGAGAAATGGAATTACGTGGATTTATCTTCATTATTTGTATCTAATTGCAGAATAGTAGATTCTTGTGTGGCATGTACTCGGTGGCGATGGAGTTCTTTCAGATAACGTCGACGTGGCTCGTTGTGTCGTTAACTTGGGCCAGGGTGGGTGCTGTTATTTTTCCACTCAGGAGCAGGAATAAATATCACGATCGATCTGTTATCATTACCATTATCACTGTGATCTGCATCAGTTTTACCGTTTCTCTTACTAAATTGTTCTCGGGAGGTGAGGTATAATCCTTTGATATGTCTGGCGGAGTTTCAGGTATGAAAATATCAGTTGAATTTATTTCAACAGGATATGAATCAGACAGTATTTTTGAGTTCATTCCATGTCAACAAGTGGCAACGCCCTGGGGCAGTTCTATGTACGTGTACATCGCATTTTCCACATGGCTACCGTCATTGTTTATTTTCGTGGGAAATGTCCTGCTCATTATTCATATGAGAAAGTCGGATTTAATACGAATTCAACTGACTCGTAAGTACTGGAGAAATGGGGAAATGAAATTATTTCAATGTAAATCTTTTTATAAATTAATTCACATCTCATGGTTTCAAATAATTTCCTTTGTTGAATTTTTAAATTACTCATGACCAATAGGGACCACTCGGAATCCTATGAATTTAGCCAGTCGAACCAGCAAAACTCTCTTCGCTGTTTCTATCGTCTACCTGATTCTACTTTTTCCATTCGGTTGTGTAGAAACTTTGGAGCTGTACTGGGATGTTATTCTTATAAAATATCCATCAAAGAATATCGCTGAGAATGAGCAATACATTAGCTGGTATGGAAAAATAATTGGAAAAATAATCCGATAAATATTCCACATTTGAATTTTATTTCAGGCTCCAAGAGAAATTACTATTAAAATGGTGCAGAGGTTTCTTCTTCAACATCTACCACTGGAACTTCGTAATAAATTTCTTCCTGTATTATTTGACAGGAAAGAAATTCCGGGACCGAGTCTTGAACGCTCTGAGAAAGACTAAAAAAATTATCTACGACAGAAATATAGAGCGCTGTAGGTCCTGTTGTAAATTCACCCGAAATTTATTGCCAATGAGATCGAATATTCTAGTGATTCAGGTAATTACTATAACAGAGCCTCGGGTCAGCAACAATGTGTCCCTGGAAATTCATAATTTGAGTTTCCAGGAGAGAGATGACCCCCACTTCTGAGACTGCCTCTCCCCGTGATAATAATTACTGCATTTTTCAATAAATAATTTCAGCGTTAGTATTAATGAGAAAACAGTGACATAGGTCATCGATTAATTATTATTAAACGAGATAAAATATCACATTCTACATCAGTATAATATCATAAGATGTAAATTATTATCAATTTTCCATTTTTCTGATATAAATATAAACTGGTGCACGAGGGATTCGAGATTTTTTTGTAGAGATAATTGTAAATTTGGTCCCAATAATAATTACATCTATCCTGATATTCCAAGAAAGTAATACTGAATAACGAAAATATAATTAACTAGAGAATTTTGCTGATTCAATCGCAAAAGCCTCGTTACATCCAGCAGAGGGGTAAATTTAAAAAAATCGTAGCACCTTTTTTTTTACGCGCATTCAGGTATGAAATTTCATTGTACAGTGGATTCTCGTTATAGTCGCGTACATGGTGGATTGTTTACATCTTGTTGGCATTGAAGAGAGCCACTATTACGGGATTCTACTGTACTGAGTTATTTACAGAATTATTAGTGACTATGAAAACCTTAATTAGTGACAATTATCGATTTTTATGAATGAAATTATGTGAATTCGTATCATTTTACAGATTTAATAGTGTCGTCATCGTTACTCTGGCCTGTAAATCAGTGAAAATTAAAAAACGTCTGAGTATCTCAATTTTTTTAAGAATTATCAATAAATTTCCTGAATTTATCGAACCAGAATATCCAATGGTAATAATTTCGGTAACTTCCACGTGACGAAACACTCATCTCAATAAACGAATGCAATAAAAATCAGTACACATGGATTAATACGCTCGACACAAGTCACAGAAACTTGTGTCTTGATACATCAATTAATTAAACAGGGGGCAAAGGGAATTGCAAGCATAACGGAGCGCCTCGTGACAATAAAAAAATTATCTCGCAGCAAATTCAACCATTTCGTATGTACAATTGATCCTAATGAACCCTCACTCAATCAGCCATAGAAAAAATAAGGAAAAAGCACACAGCACTCATTTATTTCTCACCTCGATATTTTTCTGGCTCACCAGAAGGGCTGATAATGCATTCCCGATAAATATTACCACTTTGAAATTCGTAAAGAATATTCTTTGGGCAGTGATCACCACAATAAGTCCTCGAGGGAACATCAATTCAATAACGAAGAGGTAAAAATTAACCAGTTAATTTAACTAGTGGATGAGTGTCCGAAAAATATCTGAATATAAGAGAGAGAGAGAGAGTGCATTTTTTGTAAAGATCTTTCTGGTATAGCTCTTTTTTAAAAGAAGATATATTTCTCTTTACTTCTTCGCTGATGAATTGCATCGAACACTGAGAGAGTAATTCGAGGGAATAAAATTCGCTATCCTAGGTTTTAGCAAAAATATATACATCTTATGGTTTCCTTAAATTATTTGATTTCAAGTACTTTCAGTGGGCCACTACGTGCCCTGAAGTAGCAAAACTTGACGAGATATCGTCCTGATAATTAAATTATTATTCCAGCAGTGATTCATCAAACTTTTTCCATCTAGCAGAAGTTTTGGAATCGTCGAGTATCAAAATATTTCCATGATTTGCCACTTCAGCACAGAATTAATGTCTACAAATGGATTATGTCTCGATTTCGTACTGATTTGAACTAACTCAAGAGTTGGGAGAATACTTGGGTAGATTTTGAGGAACTCGATCCACATAATTCGCTGGAAACTGCCCTTTCTTACCTTTGTATTCGCCGTACAACCACTCCTCTGATATTTTCGACAAAACATTGATCTTCACACCTTCCTGAAAATGAAGAGAAAAAAAAAATATCAGACCGAGTATTTTATGATTTAATCAGCGACAATAAAAATGTTTAAAAGCCAAATTTCAATCTTAATCCTCTTATCTATACGAGATATCCGTAATAATATGGAAAATGTATTCACCTCGAAGGGAAGATCATCCCACGTTTCCCCGGGGAATGCGTACAATGCAGTGACAAAAGCCGTCGTGACCTCAGGCAATGGAACAATAATATCAACAAAATTGAGTGGAAACATTCCAATCCTATTTCCAATTTGACCTTCTAGCCACTCATCATTAATCTGCCGTTTCAAGATAACAACATCGCCCTCTTTTAATGGCAAATCGTCAGGTTGCGTTACGGGAAAATCGTACAACGCAATTCCATGCGGTTGCTGCTTATCCTAAACAATTTATTCAAAAATAACTTGAGTCATGACATTGAATGGGCTGTCATAGCAATTACATCGCTTCAATTCATTCACTTCTTTCTTCTCATATGATAAAATGTTTTTTATTAAAAAATATATATACCATAGTGTCGGCTACCTCCTCTAGATATTCAACTGGTGGTGCTGGAGGTGGAATTGATGGCATGGGTGGTGAGGGATTGGTCCTCTCGTTTTTTTCAAAACTATTCCCCCAAAAATTCTGGTCAAAGGTGGCAGAGGCTCCACTCCCTCCATTAGCCACAAAATTCGTAACAGTGGGAGCTAAACTCGTGGGTAAAACTTTGGGAGCTGGTGGTTTTGGTGGTCTGGCCCGGATGATGGTAGGCATCGTGCTGACATGACTCGTGGGAGGTAAAAGACCTCCAGACGCGTCGCCATTGAAAGCGAAGAAATTGGCGTCGCCCACTTGTTTCACACCATTCGTCACTCCTGACATTGGGGAAAAGGGATCTAAACTCGTTGACGTTTTCCAGGGGTCGAGGCTTGATGACTTGGGTTTGTTTAAATTCCCGAAGAAGTCGAAGTCGTCCTCGAAGGCACTTTCGGTCTGCGAGGTATTGCCACTGCTGGTGAACACAGAGGGATTCGAATTTCCATCGCTTCCGAAACTATCCACACTTACACCGTCACTGCTGGAGCGAGTTGTGAACGTGGGGGATCCTGGGGGACTCAGATCGATTAGGGAGACTCCTGCCTCTAAGAAATTTTGAGCCTGAACTCCTGTGCTTGGGGGACGACTGTGATTAGTAGGGAGTAGAGGATTCATTTGCTGCTGTCTCGATGCGATCTTTAGACCAAATAAATTTCCCAAGAGCTCCGTCGGTCTCGCCTGGGGATTTTAAAAACAATTTAAATCCTAAACAATTTTTTCCTGAAAATACGCGAAACAATTCATGACTGATTACCTCGAGAAATGTCAATATATTTTTCATTAAAAAAAATTCAAACTCCACAAGAAAAAAAAATTAATACAGAGACATCTGTCATGTACTCTGTCCATTGAGAAAAAATTTACTATTTACTCTACAGTGAAGGAAAATCTATATGTTTTCTCAGGCTTACGAAATTGAAACGCACATATTTGATAAAAATATCGTACTAGTACAAAACAAAGAGACAGTCGAGAGGCATACGAAGAATTCTAAAAATAAAAGGAGAGAGACATTGTGCACTTACAGGTTTTCTCGACTTGTCGATGACATTCTGTGCATTATCTTTGCGGAAGCGAGGAGGCGGAGGTCGAGGCGGTGGTTTTTTTTTTTGGACAGGTTGGGGCATCGTGAGAGGTCCAAATGGATCACTGAAATAAAATCAATCATTCCGTTGAATATTCAACTTCCACAATCACAAATCGACTTTTTATCCTTTTCCCTCCCCCACCGATATCATCACCACTCAACGAAATTCCACAATTTCACCAGTAAAATCGTTAAATTTACTTGTTTCGTTCCCAAGACGTCAAAAAAGCGAATATCAAAGTTGATTTCACTTATCTCCTCATAATTCCACTCGAACAATGGACGCAGAGGTCTATTGAAAAATCCGCACGAACAATGAAAGAATAATTGTACAAAATGATTAGAAAATGTGGAACAATTACCCATTGCTCCACGCCATGGTTCGCTGTGCCAGCTGTCCAGGTGGTTTGGGAGCAGCTCTCGTCGGAATAGGCATCTCTGCACAAAAAAAAAATCCAATTGACAGTTTGTATACTAGTATGACAGGAAATGCAGCATGAATGCAAGTTGCGTTTTAGCATTGACACGAGCGTCAATCGCCTGACACTGAGCAGTACCGAGCCTCACGATTATATCGCACACGTTGAAAAATTACAAGAGCCCCTTCAAGAAAGATAGAAGCAACAAACAGCAAGAGTGAGGGAGACATGACGTATACATCCAACTACTGACGCATCCGGTAATTGCGTATCTCGAGTGATAAACCTCTGATTGGAGTCAAAATGTGTTGGAAAAAAGAAACCACGATAACAGATGTGCTATCGAATATCTGTTACGCCCATTTATTTTTTTAAATCTTACTGATTTTCATGTCAATTCCTGGAATTTATCAGCCAATGTGCCATTGGGAGCAATTATTGCGACTCATTGAACGAGTGTGCAATCGTTTAACCAGTGGCTTTTATCGGATTATTTATCAATGTTTATTTATTGTTGGGTTGGGGGAAAATTGAACGTACCACTGTTTTTCGAACGTATTCCTCGCAACATTCTCACTGATTCTTGGAGAAGTGAATGCTCTGACCTAGGATTATTCACATTACGCTTTTTTTATCGGCACTGTTCACTCGATTGATGTTGTAACCGTTTTTTAAATCCACTCACAACCTGCAAGGTGAGCCAGGAGCCTCACCTGGCTGTACGTGCGTAGCCATTTTCTTTTGAATTCTACAGCGGTTTTTCACTGTCGATAAAGCAGCTTTTTTTAATTAAAATTACGAATAAAATGTCTTCTCGTCATGATTTTTATATTATCTATTCAAATGCGGAAAAATTTCAAATGTTTTCAATAAATCCGCGCGCGGAACAAATTTCAATTTTTTAAATATCCTTGATCTATCAAGAGATGTTCAGTGTTGAAATTTCTGGTATAATCTCTGCCGTTATCCCTCTATCGGGTATGTCAGGATTTCAGGATTGGCCGTTAACCGAAGCTGACGCGCCACCAGACGCTGTAACCAAATCACACGCGTGCGGCATTTGTTCTTCCATTGCTTTCTCGATTGCCGCTTCAAACAGAATCGAATCACAAAGCCGGTAGTGTGGTTATAAACTCGTTATTTCTGTAATAAACAGGCTAATTTGAACTAATTAAACGAAAAAGAAAGTAAGATAATGTCGGGAAAGACATGGAGCGAAGTAGCTGCAAGTTACGATGCAACATTTGACATGCCTGTAGACGCTCTTAGATGGGGAATTCGTCCCATGATGATTGCCCCTTTATTGCGTGAATCTCCAGAGTCCCTGAAAAAATTTGGCACTACTCGAGCAGCAATCTTTCGTATTGTTGCTGTTGTCAAAAGCATCAGTAAGGACTCGACCACCATCAGTGTTGAACTCGAGGATGAGACAGGTAAGGGGAACATTCAAGCTATTACCCATTTTTATTTAATTCCCATTGCTGTCAGCGGAGAATGACCTGGTTTTTCAATATCCCATCACATCAATAGTTGTCAATTTTATTTCGCAGCGAAAACCACAGCCCGTGGTCCGTTGCACCACGACTTTTACCCACCAATGGAAGTACAAGTCGGCAAATATGCAGCCCTACATGGAGTAGTTAAGAAAACTGAAGCTGGAGAACCATATTTTTTCATTTACACTATGCGTCCAGTAACAAGTTATGGCGAGTGTTTCAATCATCTTCTGGAAGTTGTCGCTTCACTGGCCGATTTGAAGAGAGAAAAGGCCGAATGGGTGGCCGATATCGACGAACCAATCCCCCAGGGCTTGGACTCAGACCAAACCCAAATCTATGAAATCATCAAGGATGCCGATGAGGATGACTGGGGAATCGAGAGGTCAATACTCAAGGAACAAGTTCCATCGCTGTCTTCGTCCCAGGTCGATACAATTCTAGATATTCTCATTGGCAAAGGCCACATCTACACAACACACACTGATGATCATTTCAAAGTCGTTTAACTCATTTAAAACTAATATTTCTATTCTATGCACTGCTATCACCTTAGGAAAGCACGTATATTCCCAGAATTGTACGTGCTGATAAGTTTCATTTCTGCATTTTCTATTTTTAAAAAACGTTATTTTTTCTATTCATTCTTTAAGATATTTCGTTTTGGATTCCGGTGAGTTCTACCTTTATGTCTTGTTTTTTTTCAAAAGATTATCGATCGTTGGAAAATACTTTAAGTGTAATAAATAGAGGAATAAATTCTGTTTAATCACCTCACCCATTACGCCTCCTCTAGTCGTATCTCCTCTGAGTCCATAAAATTCCCTCAGGTTCATTTTCTTTTTTCAAATAATACACATGTGTGCATATGAGCGTCAGGGTCTCATGCTTAGTCAACTGAGTCAGTGTATTTCCGCTTGCCGCCAGCTGAACTCACACACAAATGCCATTTGTGTGCATGTTACATTTTGCACGTCACTCTTCAATATTTTCATAGCATGTTTGAGATCATCAAATCCTTCAAATTCAGGGAGTGAAGTGAAGTGAATTGTCGAGCAACAATTCTGTTTGAACCAACGAACCAAATTATAGCGTTACGATTATTAGGTGTCGCTGCTGTCGTACAAAATTAATAAATTCACTTGATGATTATGGTATGCAGTCGAGTCGCACGTTCAGTTACGATTTTCCATTGAAATTTACAACACAGTATCATTGTAGTAGTGATAATTCGTGGAGTGTTAGAGTATTCGGTGAATTTGTAGCGGTTTGAGGCGAGTAGTTGATCGTAGTTGCTCGGAGAGACGCGAGTCAAGTAATTATGCCAGCGATAAGGTGCCAACAAACGTCACCAATACACGGTCGTACGTTGAATTACGCCGGAAAAGGTAACTGCTGTAGTTATAGACATTGAGCTTTTGCTCCCTGATTGAATCCTTTGGGGGAAGAGGTTGAAGAATTTTAAATTGTCAGCCCCACCTATTCATAACCACTCAAAAATATTTTAGTGTGTCAATTATTATCAGTTTGTTTGAAATTGTACGATAATCGTGAAAGCAATGACAACTTTTCGAGAATAACCTGTTTGTCGATAGTGAGATGTCATGATGGTTTGATTAATCGGAAATCAAGTGAGCATTCATCTATTACATCATTTAATTTTTTTCATGGTCTGCATTTAAATGGCCTTCTTGTTTTATAGCACGTGTAAAATTGGTTAATTAGTTGAGTGGATTTTTTGTTTCCAGTTTTTTAATGTTTCTATTTATTTAGGATGCAGCGAGGTCAGTTGAAGGACATCTCGTCCTGGATGGCTCGCTTGCTCCCGGAATCTTTGGACAATTTTACAAAATCAGAAGGTCAGAAAATGTTCGGTGCCAAGACCACGGGCTCCAGTACATTTTATACAGATCTAGAGGAAACTGAAAATGAAGAGACAATACTCCGAGAATTCCATAAGAATCAGGGTTCACAGGATTCCCAGACAGCTAGTGACGATGGCAATTCTCAGGACTCTGATTCCGCTGTGTGCATTGAGGAGCATCAGGCACAACAGCAATATACAAGTCATTCCTTCCACAGGATCGCAAGTTTTGGGGGCTTTCCTAGATTTCAACCTTTCGTTATGTCTGCCTCGACACCTGGTGAATGCACCACGGTCGAGAGAGTCGAGGAGACAACTTCCATTGTCCAGATGTCACATAGTGTGCTAGAGTATAGAAGCAGCAGGTGATTATTATTTTTAAACGGTTTAAACAGCTTACGAGAGTTTAATTCAATTAGGATGTATTAAAAACAATTGTCAGGGTTGTTACATCACAGTAATTGCAATGTTGAGCTCAAACTGAATGCCATTGTAATTAAAATGGTGTATACGAATTTTAAACTAATTACATTTGAGTGAATAATATTAATTTGGAGGGAATTTGTGTTTTATAGATACACAAGTTCATCGAAACAATCTACCAATCAGTATAATCTAGAATCCTTCGAAAATAGTGAATCTGAGAGTGACGAGGAATCTGAGGATACTCGATCTTCGCAATCAGAATTACGAGCAATTCCCGACGAAAAAGATGCACCTAGTGAATTGAAATCCTCTACACGAATAGATAAATACGATTCTAAGCGACAAAAGGCCCAAAAAGTTGCTGAAGAACTTCTCAACACTGAGAACAAATACGTGCTCATTCTCCACCTGATCGATCAAGTATTCCAGTTCCGGGTCGATCAGGAGAATCGAGCCCACCCAATGTTTCCCCCTGAAACTGTCCAGCACATGTTTTCCAACATAAAATCTATTTACAAATTTCACAATGACTTCCTGTTACCCCAGCTCGAAGAACGAATGAAAAATTGGGATACGAACTCGAGAATTGGTGATATAATGAAAAATTTTGCACCCTTCTTGAAAATGTATACAGAATACGTGAAGAACTTCGATTATGCCATGAATTTGATTAGTACGTTACAACAGAAAGTGCCACGATTTGCAGCGATAGTCAATGAAATTCAGAAGCTCGACGAGTGTGCAAAACTCTCTCTGTCTCACCACATGCTGAGTCCCATCCAGAGACTACCCAGGTACGAACTTCTCCTCAAAGATTATCTGAAAAATCTCAGCGAGGACAGCGAGGATTACGAGGATACCAAGAAGGCCTTGGAGCTTGTCTCAACGGCAGCAAATCATACGAATGAAGCCATGAAGAAAATCGATAAGTTCAAAAAATTATTAGAAATCCAAGAAAGTATTCACGATGCCACGGACCTAGTCAGCGCGACTCGTGAGCTCGTCAAAGAGGGTCGCATCGTCAAAATATCAGCGAGAAGTGGTGATCACCAGGAGAGATATTTATTTCTATTTAGTGATATTCTACTGCTCTGTTCGATAAGACTGATACCAGGACCATTGTATCGATTGCGAGCCAAATTTTTCATTGAAAATCTTGAAGTCGTTGAGGGTGATAATCTGGAAACTGCCAATACTTTTTATCTGAGGTATGGAAATAAAAGTATTGAATTGTACACACACTCTGGTGCGGAAAAAGCTGCTTGGTTGGATGCACTTTTCCAAACAATGCAGGAGATAATAAAGAGAAAGGCCAGTTTGAAAACAGGCAGTACGAAGACTGCCTTAGTTAAGGCTGATGATGTTACTAGGTGCATGGTCTGTGAAGCTATATTCTCAGTTATGAAGAGGAAGCACAATTGTAGGGCATGTGGAATTGTCGTATGCAGTAAATGCTCAAACCAAAAATTATTGTTCGAGGATAACAAGAATATGAGGGTTTGTCGTCTTTGTCATGCAGCACTGACTCAACCCTTGACTAAATCCCCGTCTTCACCAGCTGGTCCTGTCCCAAGTCTTCTTCAAGTCTCTGCTAATGCACCGTCCGTACTCTCCGGTTATCTATTATTGAAGACTCAGGCGAGTAAACCCTGGGCTCGCAGATGGTTCTCACTGCATTCTGATTTTGTTCTCTACACTTTTAAATCTGAAGCTGAGAATTTGGCACTCACTGCAACTCCAATGCCGGGATATACACTCACTGAGGGAAATGATTTGCCTGATGAGGATCCATTAAATCCGAGGGATAGAAAAGGCACATTCAAAATTCATCATTCCAGAAAATGTTATTATCTCCAGGCCTCTTCCCAACAGGACATGGACAGGTGGATGCATGCTCTCAGTCTAGCTACCAAAGCTGAATTACCCCACTCAAGGCAAGACGACCAGCCAGAGTCCCAATCTGCTCAGCCAGTACATAATCAAGATTATTTACAACCATAAAGAGAAATAGAAATTTAATAAGTAAACAAAGAGACAGCAACGCACAAAAGAGCTAAAGTTTTGTACCTTGGTATTTATGAAATTGAACTAGCCAATTTTTATATCTTTAAACACATCATCAGCATTAGCTATTTGTACATTTAAGTAAATAATTATGTTATTATGTTCTATACAGTAATTTGTTGGTAACGAAAAATCAAGTCAATTGACTGTGCAACTGAAGCGCTTGTTGTTTTGTAATATTGTGTTATAGTATATTTAAATATATATCCCAGTAAATCTAAGTGCTCGTGTGCTTTGACGAATGAAACTGCCAGAGAATTCGAAATTCATTTTAAAAAATATCCAATTGCTCGGATACTAAATAAGGTAGCTACCAATTTTGTAAATCTACAATCCGAAAAATTTTATTTCTACTTGAATTGTTCTCAGGGATCTTCAAGTCAGGAATTATGTTTTTTTTTTAATTCGATCGGAAAAATGTGTGGAGACCGGGTGGCATTTAATAAATTTTTCTCATCTTGCAAACTCGAATATTCGTCCCATAATTGAATCTATTTACCTAATAAACCTGTCGACTGATCCCTCTGACAGTGGGACTGCTATTGAGGCAGTTGAGGCAGGTCAGACACCCCCATTGCGTGTGGCGCCCTCCCTTTCTTGGGGTGCATTACTACGATGCCGCTGAGGTCATTCAAACCCCCCGAACTGAGCCTCTCCTTTAGTCAATCCTCTTTGGATCGGACTATAGACGCAACAACAGTCAAGTAAAGCGTAACCTCATAGTTATGCATCTCTCTAATATCTCCAATATCCACTCCACCAGTCATACCGAAATATCTAGACCAAATATTTACTATTTATTCTTCATTATAAGAATTGCCGTAAGAAATTCAATCAATAAATTGACAGGAACAATCCTGAGTAGCCCGTAGTGTTCTCTCATAAATTCAAAATCATTGAGGAATAGAATAATGACAGTATGACGCTTCGAAATGATGGAATTGACAAAGAGAGGAGTTAACTCATTGAAATAGTGATGCTTCCATCAACGGGTTATTTCAAATCGATAAATTGTCCGTTTTATGACAGCGGCACATGTGACAGGCCTTATTGCCACTTCAAACACCTGCGAAGAGGTAATGAGTTTATTGGAATTATCCATAATTGTTGGACCGTGGGAAAACAATGAAATCTGACATCCATTGTTGCTTATAGATGATGTGCCGAATCCAGCACCATCGATTGTGGGTTACAGCACAGTTCAGGAGCCCCAGAAAATCATCGAGTCAGTTGATGGGGGTGAAAAAAGCGGAGCCACCCCCTCACAAACTCCTAATCCTGAGATGATACAACAGTTGGTTTCTGATGCAGTCAGCAAGGCTCTCGCTGATCAGGGTGTCACGGATTCAGACAATGTTTCTAAAGATATTGTTTCTAAGGTCGTTGAGGGCCTCAAGCCAACACTGGTTCCAGCAATTGGCAAACACAGTGGGGTCCCTCAATCTATAACTAAACCGTGTGTATATAATCCAACGCCAATATCAGAGCTCAGAAAACGACACATTGCAGTGCCTGTTTATAATCCGACGAGAGAGAGTAAGGTTGCTGTCAAGAGAAAATCCACAGAGGACTCAGCGAAACCCTGGCTCAGTGCGCTGCCTGAATCCATAAAGAACGATCAAAAGAGAATTAGTGAAATAACTTACAAACCTACGGCTATAGTTCATGATAAAGACATTGGGGATCCACTCAATTATGTTCCAACTACTAAGTCAGATGACAGTAATTCAAGTGACTACTCTAAACGGAAGGAGGCTTATTACCCCAAGTGTAAGAAACGTCGAGAGGAGTATGTCCCAAAAAAGGTCAAAGCTCCTCTGCAGTCTGTAGCGCACTTGGATGAGGTGTCCCTCGATTCGTTTGATCCGGAGTTTAATCTGTTGGATGATATTTTGATAGGGGATCCCAAAGGATTGAAAAATTACGAGAGCAGTTCCCAGGACATGTATAGTATTGAGGGAAGATTTTCAGATGAGGAGTATATGGAGGAACCTGAGGCAACCAAAGAAGCACGTAAAATTGAGGAGGGTGTGACTCAAGAGGCGATTATTATTGACGAGCCAGAAAAAAAGGAAGATAACGATAATGGTGTGACGAGAGATTTTACAGTTAATACTACCAGCAATAGTAATACAAACAATGAAAATTGCCGGAGAAAAGATTCGAAAAAAGATAAAAACTCGAAATCAAATCATGATGACGAGTCCAGAAGAGGTTCTGTCAGTTCAGAATCGTCTAAACACAGTGAGACACACAAATCTTCCATACGAGAACACTCGAACAAAGAAAACTCAACGGAAAAAAAATCCACGAGTCACAGTAGCAAAAATTCTAGCAGTGACAGAGACAAGAAGAGTTCTCACAGTAGAAGAGACTCGAAAGATCACAACAAAAGTTCAAATTCATCACATTCACACAGATCCTCATCAAGTAGGCATAAAGACAGTAAAAAACATAAAAGTAAGAGCAGTTCTTCCCATAGTACTAGAGACAAGTCACATCAATCGAGTTCTCACTCAGATAAATCAGCGACTTCCAAAGAAAATACTCACCACAAGTCAAGTAGACACGATAAGAAGAAATCCTCAAATTCGTCACGCTCCAAGTCAGGGGAGAAGTCCACATCCAAGTCCTCGGAGAAATCCTCGAGGTCTAGCTACAAATCCAAAGATACGAAAGAATCATCTGAAAAAAATCAATCAGATCATGACTCGTCCAGTGAAGCTGTCAATAATTTTATCGGTGAGGAGCTTCTCCAGTCTTCAGATTCCGAACACGATGTCGAGGAGGAGTGCCTCAAAATTTTTCAAGAGTATCAGGTGACCGAGGCGCCAAAAAATATTCAAATTCATCAAACGAAAAAAGCAAATGAGGTAATTGAAGAAGTTGGTAAAAAACGTGTTGCTCATCCCTCAGCAGAATATTCTGTAACTCGTAATGCCGGACCAGCTCAACCACTTAAAAAGGCACCCAATCCCCAGCAACGAATGTACGATCGTTGGCGAATGATGCGAGAAGCTGCTGCTGACAAAGCTGCTGAAAGAGCGTCTAAGCAAACGATTCCTGAGACAGAAGAAATACAAACCAATAACACAGTTGAAATAAAAACTAAAAATATTGCACCCATCAAAACAATACACAATGAGCCTCAAGTTAATGGAAATGGTAAGACTGCTGAAATTTCCGGATGATTTCAATACAGCGATAGATAATAACTTTCCATAAATTTTTCAAGGCCGTGTAAGAATAGCACATGTTCCTTACGCAATGTCCCTGGCACTGTCGAAAAAGAAAGTAGTTGATAGTACATCGAAGCCGATGGAATCAAAGACAGTAGCGCAAACAGCAAAAGGCACACCTCGAATCGCTCATATCCCACAAACAGTAAGCACTCTTGAGCAATATTTTTCATTATTTAATAATATGTCTTTCCAGCAATCATTTCCGTGATTAATTGACGATTTTTTGCTGACCTCCAATAAAAAAATTATAAAATATTATGATAAATTGCAGGTACCGACTCTGGTTCGCCCCGAGCCACTTCAAGTGGCAAACCAGAAGTTTGCTATAAATGTTCGTCAGTATTACGTTAACCTCATGCACGACATTTGCGTACAAATATACACCAATGGTGATGACGCTGCACAACGTGCACTACGTGAGGAGCTTGCCTGTCACGAGCGCTGCAAAGCCCTGGCAGTTTACAAAAATTCATGTATGCTCGCTGCTCACAGACTCAGAAAGGAAGTCGATCAGGGTGAACTGGATGGATCAGTACCATCAGCAAGTGGAATGTTATCCCACGATGCTGTACTTGCTGGTAAATCAAAGGGCTCTTGGAGCGTTGTTAAGGTGAAAAAAGCGGTGACTGATTTCAAGGGCTCGGCTCTTTACTGCATGCTCAAAAAATGGATAATGACAGAGACACAGCTGCGAGACAATGGATTCCCACGAGCTCACCCCGAGGGCCCCAAGGGGAGAGCTATGATATATGCCACGAGAAATCAACCGTTAATTTCCAAAGTGCCTAATGAGAGATTCTGCATTCGTTGTGGCCAAGCCTACATGGTCGACAAACGGGGTTGTCCCGTCAAAGAACAAAATTGCATCTATCACTGGGGTCGAAAATTTACTGTGAGGGGGGAGGGAAGGTACAGCTGTTGTCAGCAGTATGGATCAGCGGGTGGTTGTACTGACGCTAAAAATCATGTGTGGGATTTTGTTGATTATGAAAATCTCAGGGGGTACGTTGGAACATTACCCAAGGAGGGTTGTGAAGAGGAGGACCAAGGGGTTTATGCCCTCGATTGCGAAATGACGTACACCACACAAGGTTTAGAGTTGACAAGGGTCACGGTTATTAATGAGGATTGTAACGTTATTTACGAGACTCTTGTTAAGCCTGATAATCCAATTATTGATTATAACACGAGGTATGCAATAATATAATAATAATTATTAGCTCGACAAGTGATATTATCAATTTGGTTGATTGGTTGGAATTGCAGATTTTCAGGGATTACCGAAGAAAATATGGCGGGTGTGACCACAAGCCTGCTGGACGTACAGGCAACTTTATTAACAATGTTCTCGGATCACACGATATTAGTGGGCCACAGTTTGGAAAGTGATTTCAAAGCACTGAAACTCATCCACAACACAGTTGTGGATACTAGCATGATGTTTCCCCATAAAAATGGACCACCGTATAAACGTGCCCTGAGAAATTTGTGCTCCGAATATCTACGTAAAATCATTCAGAATGATGGTGAGTATTACGATGTAATAAAGAGGATAGGTTACAAGCTTTATTTTACCATGTCTATATTGTCGAACCATTATCTAAATTGATGCTGTTTCACGCCTCGTTTAAAGTCGGAGGTCACGATAGTAACGAGGATGCTGTCGCTTGTATGGAACTGATACACTGGAAAGTCAAAGAGGAAGCCAAACTTCAGTGAATGGAGGATAAATCCATCAGTTTATCTCTCACACCGATCAATATCCAAATCTGTGTTACTATTCTACTGCCGATTACATCACAAATTCACTGTATAAATGTGTAATATACTGTGTAATATTATGAAGTGGCGGATGCAGAAATGCAGGATTACTCTTGTTCACACTTAAATACATAAAAACATTATCAGTTTATTCCGATAAATATTGTCGACGAAATTCAGTACACCTTCATGATTATCATCCATTTCAATTACTATTTTTGTACTTCGTTGGCTATTTATATTCACATTGATTAAACGTTATCAGAACAATGAAATTCATTATTTATTTATTTTTTATTTTGTACACATGGGAAAATTATTTTTACACTGTATTATCAAAAATCAAGTTTCAATCTTCGTTACGTGAAAGCATCATCAAGCAAAGCTGCTCTCAATCAAATGACTATTTTTTTTTTACTATTTTATTTAGTGCCGCATAATTTGATTATATCCCTTTCAAATAATTCCTGTTTTAATTGAAAAATATAGTTCCTATTTTTTCGTATATAAACAACGATTTTACATCTGTCTTCTCTTTTACAACAAAGATATTATTTAATCTAGGCTCCGCTCCATCGAACTTGATAGGAAGTCATTTCGACGGCGCAAATTATTGACATCATTTTTTAATATCCAACACCTTCGAAAATGCACGAATAGCTCCTGATTTTTTTCCAAATTACCCACTTGTGATTTACCAACAATGAAGTTATGTAAAACATTATATAATACTGAGAGCTCGATTTATCAAAGTCAATCGTCAAATTCGCGATGTGAATTCCATTCTCATTCTTCATAAATGCTATCGAGTCCTATCGAGAAGAACGTGGTATTCGGCTGTATATATAATATGTACAAATTAATACTTAAAGTAGACGTCTATACAATCTCGTGTGAATATATATTAATGGTATGAATTAATAGGTTGATCATTGCACGTTCCACTAGATTGCCTGAGTATGATTCTATCCCTGCATTATCATAAAAATTGGCGATCCTCATAAATATAGGTATAATAAACTATACATCGAGACTAGTCTCAATGAGATCTTACTAGTCAATATTACACATTGTACCTGAAAATTTCACGCCACTGCTGACTCCATTGAATACGGAATTACGAAAAATATAGATGAGGCCTTTTTTTAAAATCCGATGATGAGCTCGATGGACAAATCTTCTAAAAATATGGAATTCCATTCGTGTCGATATGAAGGCATCTATCAAAAGACACATTAGCTTCATTGAAACTTTCCAACTAGTGAACGGTTCTTAAGACATTCCATTGATAAATCGTGAGTCCATTGAACAGCTAAGTAAATTTTTTTGCTCATTGCATGTCTTACATGTCGCCGCTCGGATGGTCGTGAATTACTAGAATTATCTGTTGTCATCGCTCCTCGCTCCCGATGATCTCCGGAAAAATTCCAATGATTATGTTCTCTTCGTCTTCATGATTGAATTGAATTCCTCTTGGTGTATTCAGCAATACTCTAGGAAGTCCGGGATTTTTCTAAGGCTTGAGGCCTTCGTCGTCGTACTCCTGATCACCAACGAGATACAAAAATTGGAAAGCTATTGCGAGGAGACTAATACCTAGGAGGTCTCCCATGGCAGTTAGATAAGGAATTGCTGAGTTATCCGGATCAATTCTTCTTTTCCACATCCAGTGGATCATGATATAGGCAATGTAAAGGAGTGCTGCCACCTGAAGCATTGCAGCACAAAGATAGACAAAGACAAATAGTGCTGTGAGCGATGTGTCACCGTCTTTCATATATTTTATCATGTAGATGAATATTATGTGGCCAGGGATGACCATGGCCATCAAAACCCGCGTCGTTCTCGCGTGTAAACCTGAAAGACAAATATTTGTCATTACTCGGTTCGATGAATTGTAACTTGCTCGGTATTCGGTACTTGCTCACCTTTGCCGAAGAAATTGGCGATTGGAGTGATGAAGATGACAGGATGGGTATGCCCCGGTGGAATCAGAAGTGTTCCAAGATCTGCTTGTTTGTGGAGGGCAGTGGATATTCGACTTGCTTGGACTGCCACCAAGTTTCCACCGACTCCATTTATCACCGGTTGAAATACTGTGAGATTCTCAAAACGTGAGACCATAAATTCGAGAATTAAACCACCGCAGCTGAAAAATTACACATCCATAGAGAACAATAAGACACAGTAGAACGAAGTCTCGAGTACAGAATTCTGACAACACAATTACCTGCTAATCAGCATGGCAACCATGACCGGTGTCCAGCCCGAGTAAAGCACATCATTGGTGTATTTATTTCTCTTGGCAATCCACACCCACAGAGGAGTGATAAGAATATAACACGCGATGATAAGGGGTGCTAGCCAATCCTGTTTATCAATTGCCTCGTAGAGGATCGTGGATATCCAGGATAATAGGGCCAAGGAAGTGATGTCTCCGAGGCTTGCAGCTATTGGAGTTGCAACGTTATCAGGATTAATGTGGCAATGCCGAGAGAAGACAATTACCCCTGCGGTAATTAATCCGAGAACAAATGATGCTAGGGAAGCTGTGACAAGACTGCTGGCACAGAGGAGGTAAGTGTGGTCTAATGATACAGTGCCATTTCTAAATGCACCCATCACAATTGCTACCACTGATCCTAGGAATCCCACAACGATTGCTTGACACTGCAATTATTAATCATCGATTTAATTTCCCAATGTCAACTCCTCTGTCGACATTTTTTTTTTTAATAATCAATGAATTATCCAATAGTTATACATGCATATTCGTGCGAGGCCATGAGAATTATATTTATCAGGGCAGGTTTAAAAGGATTAGTGAAAAAACATGGTGTCAATGTGTTTAACGCACGAGTCAGAGATGATGGCAAACATAATGAAGGTCGAGTGAACGTCACAGACCGTGAATACATAATGAAATAAAATCGTGGCGCCGATGATAAGGATGTATCAGTCCAAATGGAAACTTCTGAAATGGTAGACATTTGGATTTATACGTTATTTAAATAATCTCGTTGGTGTAACGACAATTTTATACCTGAATCAGTACTAAATTTCCAACGATCATGTACCATTGTTGCTTGGGTGCATCCATATTTCCAAGATTGGCCTGGGTTGATAGGCGAGAGGCAAGAGTCATCTCCAGATTTCCCTTTAATCCTAATAGTGCCGGTACCAGAATCATTAATTCACTTACTTTTTCAAATACCTCCCAATGCTGCAATTAGTAATATAAGTGAGATTAATGATGAGGTAATGAGGATAATATCGGCGGATTATCGAGGGATAATTTACCTGAACGATATCTAAAACGAGACCAGCTCCAACCATTCCAAGTCCAGCAACGAGAAATGGAATAAATACTTGAATTGTAATAGCGAGATAGGATTCCACGGGCTCGTCGTTGTTGTCACCGCAGAGCCTGCTCTCGGCGACGACGTCTGGTAGACGTCCCCCATCACCATTCTCATCAATAATCGTCACCTCCTGACAATCATCACCGGTGAGAGGTGCTGTCAAGGCAGCAGGTGTATTTGTTTCCGAAACGGTGCGTGATCGGTTACCGGTCGGTGTCATCCTATACGAATTGCGTTTACTCGGTAACAGAGGCTCCTTGCATGGTCCACTGCCAAAAAACAAAACCAACACATTCTATTATTGTCAGGTTTCACCCATGTCGTGATCATTTTTTTTTTAATCCAGTGTATCCCAACGAATGATCGTACTCTTCAAATTTTACTGAATTATCGGTGTGCGGTTGTACGTCATCCTCGAGACTCTCTTGATAGTGAACTTTTAAATTTTTCGGTCCAGGATTACACTCCAGCATCTTATGAACAGACACTCTCCCGTCAGTCTTAAAACCGCGTACATACGGCAATTGTACTTTCGCTAATTGAAACGACAAGTGCATCCGTGTGAGGAATGATGAAAACCTGTGGAATTTGTGTATCTCTGATTGTCATCATGTTGTAAATCTCTCCACACCTTCTCTCTTGAAAGTATCTTTATCACTCAGTAATTCAATCTACCACTCTGCTGTGATCCGCGAGACCTTGATCGTTGAGGGTAAAAATTCGATTCTACCGGCTATTTTTACTCACTGCATAAAGTCAAGGTACTCCTCATATGAATGCACACATGAATAGTCAGATTGGTGCTACTTGAATTACTGACCATGTGGAGCTTCGGCACGTGGTAGTTGCGCGACTTATTGCAATTACTCCATCACACAATTCATTACCTGCCCTTGATGATTTTTCAATCGTCAATTTGAGTGATCCGAATAAAAATGAAAATTAAAAAATGGAAATGATCCGCGAATGCTATTATGAATTTGAAATTGAGGGGCTGTTCACTCTGAAATTCAGTGGCACCACGATTTCATGAAGTGATTTAAATGAAATAATAAATCATTGAAATGCCCCTCGCTCGAAATGATCGATGAAGAGTTAGTCTCACCTCACAGAGAGAAGAATCTGGCAATGGAGAGAATGAAGAGGCCAAAGCTGGAGATGAAAACTGGAGATTCAGTTATCTCAGCGAGAATTGCTGGTGATAATAGCACTCGATTATTGAACATCGAGTTGTTCTTCTCGCTGGCCACTCGAGGGGCCGTATCATGATACGGTTACATCGCGACTGACAGACCAGACAGGAATAGACGAGTTGAAAGAGCACCCCCAAGTCTACCATCGACATGACGTTGAAACTCGTTCTAGGCAGGCGCATACTTATCGATCATAGCAATACGCAATATATCGCTCATATACGTATGCCTTCGGTTCGTACACTGGCAAGGAATAATATCTGAATAACAGAAATTCTCCGATTGATTGAAATCATTCAACGACTTGAGATCCAGACAATGGACCACTCGCCGAAACGCGTGTCCTCCTGAATATTCGGTGATCAAAATTCTGTCGCAAAATCAGTTCGGTGGGAAAAATGCATAGTCAATCAGATTTTCCAGGGATTTCCACAGATGTGGGTGTGGAAGAAATATTGAGAATACTGTGTTGTATTAATGCGTGGGTGCGGAAAATTTCACGATTACGCAGGTCTCTGACATTCAGCTGGGCACCTCCATGTGGGTGGATGAAATGGCATTCGAACTTTAGAATGAATATTTACAGCGACCCCGCGATTTTATTAGTGATTTACCCCTCGGGTCTGCTGCAATGTTATAAATGTTTGGCGAAATTTGAAAAATCCTAGGATTTCTCAAATTTTCCTGTTAAAATGCCAGGCTCGAAGGTAGAATGAAGAATCGTTGTGTTGGTCAGCTAAATAGTAATCTCCGGTTGGTAAATTTCAACATCCGGTTCAACCAAAAATATCTCCATCATTATAGCGAGAAATAAACACGGTGATTTTATTGCCCGAGTTTTGTCTGCTAATGTAGAATCAAATGGACTAGCGTATTAGCACTTATGAGTCGATTGTGTTAGTTGTCACAAGTTGATATTAAGCCCAGTCGGTGGCTGATGGTTAGTAGTAGCAGGGGCAATTTGTATTCTGGTAACTTCTGGACTAGGTCACATCCATGGAGGCCCACTTTTCTGATTACCCGGTTAAACGTTTGGATTTCGTTCTAATTTTTCAACGTCAACGCGGTCGTCAGCTGATATCTCCGCACTATCTTATGGTCGGACCAGAATTGTGACTTTGTTGGCTTGAAAGTGCATTTTTCGTGCAATTTTTGCGCCCAAATCTCGCAATTCGTGGACCTCAAAAACATTCGATAATTGCTCTGGAGTTTTTCATAAAAAATTATTGCGTACAATCGACGTGGACAATTGGTGGGAAAATAAACTCGTTTCTCTGATTATGTATCAACCCGATGAAGAAAATGATTGCACGTGTCGCTGGTTTGTTGATAATCATCGTTATAATTTAAAAATCCTATGAATCATGTGTGCATCTGGAGTCTTGTTGTATAAACATCATTTATAAATAATGAGTTTTCCATTTTTTTTTTAATCATACGCGTCAGCGTGGAAACGTGTTTAATTACTGATGTACAATGCAATTACTAGTATTCATTTTTCTCAGCCTTGAATTATCGTCGCAGTTTGCGTGACGACGTCATTTTAATCAGTACTCATTCACTGATCATAAGTCGGTTGACATGGGTAATCGGAGGTGTAATCGATATTTTTGTTTTCGGGAATAAACAAGTTGCTTGACGATTCTAAAAATATTATGCACTTGAATAGAATTGTCTGAGATATTGCTGAAGGGTTGGGCTTATCGAGGGAATCACGGAGTCGTGAATTTAATTTAATTCTATAGCGATACAATGATTTCACCAGTGAGGAGGAGGTAGGAAAATTTCATTTGAGCCTGGTAAATACCATTTTTTCATACATACAAACGAGTATAAAATGGCACTGAGAGGGAAGGGGAAAACAAACTATCCAGCTCACTGATTATTAGTTAAATGCCCTCAAAGTGTATAGTGGTACATTACTCTCCATGACGGCGGGATAGGCTTGCGGCCTCATCTAATTGACATTGTCACTGATGTTCAGGGCCGTTGACGAACCACCGTGAATCCACTTGGTTCATTTTGTTCCTCGAGCACGTGGTGCTATCAACCATTACGATATACCGAAACCAAAAATTTTTTCTTACAACTGGAATTGATTCATCGAACGCCTGCATTAATCTGAACCTCGCAAAAAAAAATTCGATTACAGCGAGACGATTCGAATTTTTTATTGTTCAAGTTCATTTTGCTTAAATTTCATTTATAAATGAGAAAATTTCTCCTCCAATTCGGAGATACTCAGCGTAAATGATAATCGAATTGTGGGAAGTTCGATTGGCTGTAGGAGCATATGTTTATTCAATACTGGAATTTTTTATTCTCAGTACACCAGTCGCGGTTTTTTTTTCTGTTTGCTATTCATTAACAAATTCTCGGTCTTGTATCTGTTGCAATTATTAGAATAGGAATGGACTCACCTCAGTGAACGACTCCTGCCTCGATTATTGGCATGAGCGTTGAGCTTCTCCATTTTGAAACTCATCTCAGGGCCCTTGGAAGAATTAAATCCTACTCAATAATTAATTGTTTTCGGTAGCCAATTGAAAATGTTGGAATATAAAAGTGAGTCCCTTTAAAATTCCGTATTTACGGTGCTCTTTTCTGTCTGATAGGTATCACTTATATTGCCTCATCATCAGGAGAATGACGTAATTATTCAATTATTATTTATTGACATATCAATCGCGCGTTCGTACTATTTATTTAATGTTAGAGCAATGTTTGTCGTTTTTTATGTGAAAACGCGTGAACGCGCAATTTTCGGTTTTGCAGAATTTTTTTCAAGTTCCACCGGCACTAAGTAGCTCTATTTGACCAAGTAATGAACACACTCGCATCTTCTCCGAAGACTGATTCTTCATTTTTGAGGAGTCGATGTGAATTTTTTTCCCCGGTAGTAGGCTAATTGTGCCACTGATACCGTACACCAGATTCGAGCCTCTGAGGTAATCCCCGAAAAAAACACGAGACAATTTCATAATCAAATATTAGTTTTATCCCAAATAATTGTGTGTAAAAGCTTAACGTAATTGTTATCATCGACCAATAGACAGGTAGAAAGAAGAGATTCATTTGCTTCACTCCTTAACGATTTGTTAAATTTATTTATTCTTGCCCAATGAGAGATAAAATTGTGGAACACCGGAGGTCAATTTACTGAACTTACGCTGATTAACAGTCAGCTCCTGATGGCGTTAGAAAATTTCAAATTTCGCATTTCGATTTCCAATTGATTTAGAGTCCCTTCCCATGGATTCACTTGAGTTCTTTTCCAGAATTTCGATAGCCGCGAAAAATTAAATAAAAAACTCTCAGCGCGATGTACAAAGATCAGATGTGGTTCAGCCAACAGCACACCTGACTAAAAAATTCCACAAAAATGAGATCGTAAACTTGTTCGTCCTATCTCCAACTGTTGATTGCATTTCACGGATTTGAAAAAAACAAAACATTTTTCACAATCACAAATCACAGAAATTGTCGATGAATGTCATGGCTCAAACTGGATTAATGGTCATTTAAGGTGATTATCTGACAGTTGGGGAAAATTTGTGTGGAGATTTAATGGTGAAGATACCGTCTGCTACGCGATGGCAGAGTTAGTTGGCACTGGCAGATCTAACTATTTCATTCACAGTTGCCAGTGGTTCGGTGTGGCACATCGCTATCGTGTTATACGCTTGGTACACGCATGAATGGGGCACGTATAAACGCATGCGATTACACGGTGTTAAGATAAAGAGCATGACAGAAAGACAAGGATCAACAAGATGGGTGGTATAGGTGGGCTAGAGTGATTTATTCAATCAACTGTAACTCCTCAAATTCAGAATTACACTTCCAGAGTTAAATCTTACTGTTTCCGCGGCTAATGAGTTAATGAGCTAACACCCAAATCAAGATGAAGAACTTCCTAATGAGGCAACATTGATTTAAAAAATTTCACTCAAAAAACGATAATAAATCACTTACCAAAAAATTCACGAATTAATCAATCAATTCGTTATCTTATCAAATATTTCCGCAAATAACGTGGAAACTTTTTTCAATGTCTTCCTCTTGATTGCATTGGATATTAATCTTATTCAATCTATAATTTTCTGAGAAATAATAATGTTGCCTCGAAGTATTAATACATGCTCAATCTCTGCAACAATACTCGATTGTATATGTATTGCGTATGGAGGGGCTCTAGGTGTTAAAAGAGCCCTTCGCCACTAACTCGATGCCAGCCTATTAAACAGTTGAAGAGACTATTGTGTATAATAATAGTGACAGGGAAGATGTAACTATCAACGGTGCGCATTTATCATAACGAGACCGACCGTGATTTCATGCAATGAGGTGTTCCGCGTCAAGATACTATCATTTTTTATTAAAAACGGAAGACATGCTCTTCATGTTGGTCAATAAACAATCACCACTCATATGCTATTTTCTTCTTTATTATTACTACAATTTATGCAAACGTAACAGATATGGCATTTTACATTTATTCATTATAAATTTATTCAATGGAATAATTATTTGCGTAGAAACGATTGCACATAATTTTTGAAAATATCTCTGCTTCGTCGAATTAGTTGGTCATGCAATTATCATTATTACATACCATTCAATACTGGCGTAATGTAGATAAATTTGCTTTGTCAAAAATTTTCTCTACAAATATGAGTCATATTAATTATTATATCAAATAACAATTATTTCATCGTAGAAAGTCCAAAAGTAAGTCTAGAAATCACAGCAATTTGTTACATTGGAGCAATAGTGGATAATTCTGCAAGCTCAAAATTGCGTATTTCTCATGTACAAAATCGTGTTTCATTCATATACAAAAAAAAACATTATTTTGGTTCACCTTTTGATATTTTTCATCTAGCACCGCATTGTAGATATATCCTCGTGCATTCACACTCCAATCCTCCTGACACATTCAATCAAAACCCAATACCAGTATCATTCTAAGTACATACGCGTAAAAATTCCAGTTTACGTGTCAAATACAGATTATTATAATGAAATAACTTATGTACAAAACGATTAAAAAGGAAAAACTCTTCACACATTAATCGTGAACTTTCGAGATATTAAGGAATATCTACATATACATAATGTCAGGTACAAAGTGATGTTTGATCCTGAATTATTTCAGAGTTCGCATTTATGACCGAAATAAATGGAGATCCTTTAGAAAAAAGTGTCGGGAAAAATAACTGGCAATAATTTTTTCGAGGATGACGAATGAATCGATGATATCTTAGTCACCAACATCTGAATCACCATCACCGATTGCATCGAGAATGTGGAAAGCAATTCCGAGGAGAGCAGTACCCAGGAGATCACCAGCAGCAGTTAAGTAAGGAATTGCCGAACTATCGGGATCCATACCTCGTGTCCACATCCAAACTACCATTAATTGACTGATATACAGTAAAAGAACCACCTTAAATAAATCAAATCATCGAGTGAATCATTGATAAAAAAAAAAATTCGTTTCATTCGCCGTCAAAAATGAGTTTCTACCTGCAAAACAGCGGCAAATAGATAAACAATTATGAAAATGGCAGTGAAGGAAGTGTGACCAGCCTGAAGATAACTTATGGTATAACTAAATATCAAATGTCCCGGAATGACCATCATCAATAAAACTCTGGCAGTTCTAGCATGTCCACCTGTTTAAAAATATAAAAAACTAATCAAGTCGAACTACTCATCACAAATTCAAAAATCATCTAAAACACCTACCTGGGGCTAGAAATACTGAAACCGGACTGATACAGACTCTAATCTGTTTATGATTACCACTACTCTGCTCCTTGTGAAGGGCAGTCGATATCCTGCTGGCTTGCACTGCTACCAAATTTCCACCTACCCCATTTATCACGAGTTGAAAAACAGCAATACCCTTGTAACTCGATATCGTGTAATCGAGGATAAGTCCACCAATGCTGGATTGAAAAATTCCGAACAATTCAAAGCAATTTTGAGTCACGATTGAATTGATTTGAAATAAAATATTCAATTAGCTTACAAACCTGCTTATCACCATGGCAGAAATGACTGGAGTCCAGCCATAATCAAGTACTTCTTTTGTAAAAGGATTTCTCGCGGCAATATATCCCCAAATTGGAGTTGCCAGAAGACAACATGTAATTAATGTGGGTGCTATCCACGACTGTTGACCTGCGCAAAAAAATAATATGTAAAAACTGAAGACAGTTGCATTGAGAGGGCGAGACGAAAGATGGATTTACCAATAGCATTGAACAGAAGCGATGCAATCCAAGAAAGTAATGCCAAGGTCGTCAGATCACCGAGTGATGCAGCAATTGGTGTTGCAACATTATCAGGGTTGATGTTCATACGCCTGGAGAGAAGTATAACGGCAACCATAACAAGACCAAGCAGGAAACTAGCGACTGACGCTGTGACAAGTGCACTAGCACAAAGTAACAAACCATGATGTACATCAAATTGAGCCTCTGGTATCCAACCGAGAATCACCGCTGCCAAGGACGCCAAGAGTCCAACCACCATGGCTTGACACTGTATCAACGCTAGATTACCAATTATTAACGTCCACTGTTCACTACTCGTGTCCATGTGACCTAAATTTGCGTGAGTCGAGAGACGTGATGCCAGTGTCATTTCTAAATTTCCTTTTAATCCTAACAGTGCAGGCACCAGAATGTATACCTCCTTTATCTGGAGATATACTGGCCAGTGCTGTCAAAAAAAAAACACAATAATTCCACCTGAATTGAACGGTCAAATAATAATGAGAAGTTGCAAATACCTGCACTAGATCCAGCAGGAGGCTGGCAGCAACCATACCAAATCCAGCCAGTAGAAAAGGTATGAACATCTGTACTGAGATAGTCCAGACATTCTCTTCGTCAGTTCTCTCAATACGCTTGACGTTCTTCCCAGTCTTTTTAATTCCCTCAACAAAGTGCCTGGGAACACCTGATGAGAGCAATCGACTGGTGTCTCCATCGTCACCTTCATTGTCACTGTCCACAGTCAACTCAGTGGAAACATCAGCAAGTGCTTTGCTGAGAGATTCTCCACTGCCAAAACCCACCATCTTGCACGTGGAAGATGCAATACTTTTTGATCCTGGTTTTTTCCGCTTGTGCACCTCACGATTCTCCTGTGAATCAATCGTGGATATCCCAGCATGACTCATCCTCGTTCACTAAATATTTATGTGTCACTTTGAAGGACTAAAACAGAGAAATCAACTCATAAAGGAGACAAAGTTAACACTAGACACTCGAAAGAGAAAAAAAAATAATAACCGATCATTGAATTAATAAAACCGAGAACTCGGAAAAAAAAGCGAAGTTTTAGAAGTAGGAGAGAGCCTGAGACGACTGGCAATAAATCAACGAGTGAGATCAAGCAAAAATAAATGAACCGGCTTGACCCAGGTCCCTTTATAGAAGCACATAGCACAACTCAGTTGTTTTTTCAACATTCATTTTGGATCTACAATAAAACACTAGAACTGTCTAGACAGTGCGTCATGCTACACAGAGGCCATAAAATAGTATTACAACTCACCATTTGCCTATTAAGATCCGACATTATCATTCTTTAGTGGAACAGCAGGGAAAAATAAAAACGACTGTTAAATTCACTTAGGATGATTAAAATATGTTAGGCTTTCTAAGAGAATCGGACAGCAACTATGAATCCTTCACCATATGGAGTCTTCAACTGATAAAATAATAATAGAACGATAGCATCTTGAGGAAAAAACCACTGTGTAAATAATAGAACAAAATAATCGTCAATATTAACCTTAAAAGCAAGTTCACTCACCCCTGGCCCATCAATGTATCTTCTTTCGTATACAATCATTCACTCGATTCGTTAATGCTTCGGGTGATTCCGTGATGATTAGATACCCCGTGATAAGCCAACAATCATTGAAATATTACTAAATGTTTATTCTAATCGAGTAGAAAATGCCCGGTGTCCCAAGACCAATATATCACAGAAAATTTTTAAAGATGCCCGCGCGGAATTTCTCTTTTATCTAAGCGACAGGTCTCATTATTTTTTCATTAACTTCTAGAATTCACTTTATTGTTATTGAAATTATTTTTGGAGGTAATTTCAGGTTTCCGGAATTCAGGCCGAAAATTTAAAGAGAAAAATACGGCAACAGCGCGCTGACGTTTACTGTCACGTCGCTTATATTCCAAGAACTTACGCATGCGCGGCGCTAATGCACGAACACATTTGAATGCACATGCATTGTTATCAGAGTAACAATAATGCTTGCAAAGCCATAACTTATTCTTACAAGTGTATTCCCAATAATAATCATCCCAAGTACGAAAACAGAAAATTTCGCATTGTCCTCCAATTTATTTCAGGATTAATACGGGAGAGCACGTCTAAAAAATATTATCAGTCTGTCCCCAGAAACCAATGATATTTCGATTGCTTTGATTGTCTTGCTTACTACGAGATAAATATTTGTTTTAATACGGTATAAATATACAGATGAATATTTCTCAAGTAAGTAGTCGATCGGAGTCATATTTGAATATGCATTGCAGTTTCCCTCGGAATAGTTCTAATTATTCCTCTGTGTATTGAATCACATTTATGATAATGTAATTGCGAATTTCCATAGTTATTACCGAGGTATATCTCAAGCTGTCAAATCTTTCCGGTTGAAATTTCATGAGGCGCGGAAATATTTCTTCTTAAAATAACGCTATGACAGCATCTCTAATTCTCATCGCAGATATTTTTCGAGGCATCTATCAATCATTTTCGTGGATTATTGCATAATCGTTCAAGTACTGGGGGGTAATATGAGAGTCAAGTTGGCCGGGTAAAGCTGTGAGATTGGCAGCCACAGCCAAAATCCTCCTGAAATAAATTGTCCCTCGTCGGTGTGCGCATGAGTGACATTTTTTTACTCTCTATTTTGAAAATTCTCTTTTGAAATTTCTATTGTACACGTCCGCTCAAAGGGTTTCGAGTGATCGCAAGTGCTGAAGGTTGGTAACAAGACTCATTGAGAGGACTCACCTCCAAATTAATTTATAATTACAAATGATTTCAGAGGATTAATCGAAATCCTGGACCATGGGTCGTAAAAAAAAGCCGTCAAATAAATCAAATGGTGGTGCGGATAATTCAGATAATATTGTCAAATCTTGTAAAATCAAGACGAATGGAAATAATTCGAGCAAGACTGATGAATCGACAAGTTCGCAAATATCAATACTGGATATTTCCTCGCGCCTGACTCTCCCACTGAAACCATCTGGTGTTGATTTGTCGGTTGACAGTGATGATGAGGAAATATTGGAATTTCAGATTAGACCTCGTTTCTTTTATGTGTCAAGTTTGTGCTTAGTCTGCATGAATATATGTGAAATACGTTGCGACGATTGTGGAATGGTGTCTTATTGTTCTGAGAAACACAGGAATGAAAATAAACAACAGCATATGGCCTTATGTAAAGTTTTATTGGAAATTTGTGGTGGGATGGAAGGATTTTCCCTGGCAAAGACACTGCCGCCCAATTTGTACCGGTCTTTCAGGATAAAAACAATTAGTTTAATTGAGAATAAAATAATGAGACCATTGGACTTGTGGGAGAGGGAGATCGTGTTGTATCCGAGAATTTGCGGAAGCTGCGGTCAAGTGAAGGAACTGATCTGCTGTCCCACCTGTGGAGTCGATTTTTATTGCGCAAACCATCAGCAGAATCACGTTAAATGGTGCAAAGACTTTCAGGTGTTCAGGAAAATTCTCTGGATGCAGCATAAGCATGGATTCATTGAACCCGATGTACCCGTTGTGTATTACAAAGAGGCGCATGTTTTACCTGAAAATTTCGACTTTCTCATCTACGAAATGTACAGAAATAGTCCGAGCTACAGGAGAATTGATAGCTACACTTACGCCAGTTTGTCGCATGTCGCCACTGCACCATTGACTGCATTATTTGCCATGCAGAAGACTATTCCTGACTGGACTACACGAACACATTTTCGAATTCATGTAATTGGGGCTGAGTTTCAGTTTGAATGCTCGTTATTACGAGTCTGGGAGAAGCTTTTTCTTCATTTCATCCCTCGTCTCAAGAATCTCACGATCGAATTCACTGGTCCGGAGTTGAATCTCCCACCAGCACCGGCGGATCTCCTCGGGAAAATAAAAATGTGCAGGCCCTGCAAATCTGGTGGCAGGAGAATTCACATATCCTTTAACCCCCGGAAATTGTATCACGACCTGAAGAATGAATCGCCAGCCGATTTGATATGTCTGTTCAATCCTGGATTATATCGGGAGACTGGTTTTGATAATATCGATACGTGGCCGGGGACCATTATGAAATTTTGCGCTGAAAAAGTTCCAGTTGTTATCACATCGTACACTGACTTTGAGATACCGAGAGATGTTGATCGGATAAAATCTATTGGAGATGTTAAAGTACTACTGGAGCCCCAGAGAAATCCTTTTGGGGCTGTCAAGCCTGATAGGAATTTCGTTAGCGATGATGTCGTTCCCCTCATGTACAAGAATCACTGCATCAGTATTGTTAAAGGAATATAATTCAATAGACAAGATTATCCTGATTTCATTTTTTAATTGAGCAAAAATGTGACCAATTTAAACACAAATACATGAGCTGGGATAAAAACTTATTTATATAAAATATTTGATATGTATTCCAGTGCCTATTCAAAATATCGACACTCACGCTCATTAAATTAAATCCATTGGCTGCCCATTCACCCGTTTTGCTTCAACATTTTCTCCTCTTGCATCGCCACGAATGAGCAAATTACAATAATACTAGGAAAATGTTTAGCATGTTATCTCTAGCTCATTCATCAAGCACACCTTAAAAAATCTCATTGCACGAGTAATACTCTCGATATAAAATAGCACTTTTTCTTCAGGAAACGTGTTTTCGTGCTTTGATGGAATGTCGATTATTTTTATGATCTAATTAAGTTCACTAGTAAAATAGAAACTAAGGGAATGATTGATGTAGTGTCTTTTTCGTGACATAATTTGAAATTCCGTTATGTGAATAAAAGATTTAAAATTCGCTACAAAAGTGGGAGAAATGTTGGAATTTTTCTCACTCTCAAGTCAAACGAAACATGGCGAAAATTATAGTGAGGACAACGGTGAGAATGCGAGTGGAGGATATACTTCCGGAAGAGTTTGCAACTTCGTAGAAGAATCGATTGTAAGCACGATCACAGTGGGATGGCCAATCTTTCAGGCAACTGGCATATGCCACAGCATGAGCGATGTAATTTTGTTCGAAGGTACCTCTGAAGAGATGTGAATAGGGTCCTGTGTCCACCAATTAAAATTATAATACATCATTAATTTGAAAAATACACTAAAATGGATTTTGAGGGGAAAATTTTACCAATAGCATAAACTCCGACATCTTCACCACCATGTGTGTCATCCTTCAGGTACATTGGTGAGAAGAATCTGTAGAAGGGCTTCTGTCTATTGGAATCGTCCTTGACACTTCTCCAAATATCAGTGGAATTGGTATTATTCAGTCTATGATACATGAAACCTGGACCATTGGCGTAGGTCAGCGTTTCATAAGGCTTTATTTTCGGATCGAGTCGATTATTGGCGAGTCCGAAAATATCATTTCCTCGCGTTGGATATCCATTCATCGTGAAACTGTGGGAATGATCAGCTGTGACGATGATCAATGTTTCCTCGATATTCACCTGACTCAGGGCAATCTTGACCGATTCCTCCAGCTCTGTCACTTCGCGAAGTGCCAACCTCGCGTAATTCTGATGATGTGCTATATCGATTTTTCCACTCTCAACCTGGCAAAACATCGGATTATACAATTGCGGGAACACCAGGAATACGATTATTTGTCATGAATGATTATTCTGAGTGATCGATAGGCTACACTAAAATTTACACAGTGCCATCCTGGGGAATACGTTTGAAAGTGACATGTGGCCTTGCTTGATATCCGGTAACTATTGCAGATATCCGTAAATTGTGTACTCAACGATTTTTCTGTCGGTGTAAATAATTAATGAGGAGGAAATGATGCAAATGAATGGATGATATTGATAATCTTCATGAGGAATGCTAGATTTTTCTCACACTCTGCGATAAGCGGGAATATATATCTTCTTGTGACAATCGGAAGAAAACATTCTATGGAATTATTTACCATGAGGAAGAATCCCTTCTTGTTTTTTCGCAGCATTCGTACGGCTTGGAGTGTCATGTTTGCCAATGTTGGAGTCATCTCGGTTCTGACTTCGTGATAGGGCATATGACTCGAAGCGAATATCCCCATGAGCTTTGGGGTCTTGGCGATGTCAATGGACATGAGGTCAGACGCATTCGTTACGAATTTTCCGTGTGGATTGAATTTCTTCCAGATAGCTGTTAAATCTTTTGAATCATCTCTCGTACAGCTCTCGGAGTCGAGGGGATCGTTCACAGGATGGCCCATATTCTGACCCCCACCTCCCATGATTACCTGTGCACAAGCATTATCATATATTCTCAAATTCACACAACGTTTGTCACGTTATCGTGAATGTTAATTGCCTTTCAACCGGGAGGATCTTGACATCATTCTTCATATCGATGTCCAGTGTCATGCACTGAATTTTTTATCAATCCTCCAATTACTTAATCGTTAATTATTACGATAAATTGTGTCGCACTACCTTAAATTTATTTCCGGGGGCATCTTCAATCAACTGTCGTGCAATGTCTTTAGCACAATTCTTGTATTCCCTTGGTATATTACTGTCGCACTCCCAATCTCGATTATTTATATGAGCATAAAGTGATGCTGGGGTGGCGTGGGTTATCCTAGTTGTTGTCACAAAACCTGGAAACCCATTGAATAACCTATTGGTATCCCACCAACAATTATCTCATAAGAAAACAAATAAATAATTTAAAGAATAGCGACATTGAAAAGAAAAATTGAGTGACGGTGAGAGCGGCTGAATGGCAGCCCCGACATGGACGAAGGTCATGCTGTGGCCTTTCAAATTCATTGAACATATTTTTATTACGGATAATTCCAACAAGGTCCACTCAACCACTGATTGTCTATTGAATACCCAGTTTGCGGACTATGAATAACTTCCACTATCGTATGCTGCACCGTTTTCTCTAGATTTTTTTTCTCAGAAGAAGAGCGAGTAATTTATCGGAAAACATTACGGAGAATATTTTTCGTCAGAGAATTCCAATAAAACCTCGTGACGGAAGTTGAATTTTTTCACCGGTGTGTTACAATTTTTATCGCAAGATAATACCACGAGTTATTATTCAAGTCCTTGTCCCGGAAGCTGGTACCGTGGATATTATGAGCATTGAAGTGGCCGATAAAAATGTAATTTCTTATTGCACCTGTATCCATGCCAGTTGCTTGAGCCCAATCTGCCAAGGTTGTGAGTTTTCTCGCTTCGTTGACAGTCGCGTCACAGGAGTTATAAGAGGCCTTGGCATCTAAACCAATGACTTTGTATCGGCTTTTGACGCCGGAAAATATTGCGGTCGCTGTACCAGCAGAATCGGGCACCTGTTTGTCCACGTTGTAAGTCTAGATGATGATACAAATGGATAAGAAGAATTACACAATCCTTAGCTCTAACTAAATTCCAAAAGAATGTAAGCTATCGGTTATCGACTAGAGTTAGTTAACATAAAACTATAAAAATAATTGCACCGACGGAATAGATGAGGAGATGAACTGCCGGTGGGGCTTTGAGAAATAAAAATAATTAAATGTTGGGATGATAATGATTATTTCTCATTTACCTTGGAAAATCCAGTGTTGGGAAAATCTTCAAATACCAATTTGTATTCTTCACCGGCTAAACCACTCCGCTGACCAGTTAATATTCTTCCTGATGTTATTGATGCCATTCCCATACCATCACCGATGAATATTATTATGTTTTTCGCCCGTTTTTCAATATTTCTCATACCCAACACCCTCTGCAGATTCGCCTGACCAGATTTCATCCAGAATGACATGTCTGACAATGAGAATTTCTATTATTAATCATTTTCAATTATAGTATGACTTGTGTGCTCGAAGTTTATGAGAAAATTACCCTCATAGTCGGTGGATCCTTGGGGCAGTGAGAATGAATGTTGAAAAGTGGCGGCAAGGCAGAGTAATATGAGACAATAATCCATGTTTCTGCAACTAACCAGTTCACTTTGACAAAAACCAACGTTCAGATTTATATGATGACTGGGCAAAAAATCCTTGCCATTTCTTATTAAATAGAAACATCATTTCATTTCGCCAAACGAGTGTCAAACTTTTGACAACAAATAATAATTACATCAATGCCAAATAAATAGGTTTAACACTGAAATATATGATGTAAATCTTTGAGCGCTACATGCTTTAGCAATTTACATAGTTAAATTGCCACCGGACGAAATAGCTCGCAGGGTCCAAATTAAAAGTGTTACGCTGCAGTCATTATATTCAGTGAAATTGAATATCTCAGCAATTGTCATTGCAGATATTTGTCAATCAGATGAAAAAGTGGCGATCCAGTGGACCATTAATAAATCTCCCGCAGGTAGAGACCTCGCAATTGAGCATTAATTTTTAAAAAGAATTTTTGCATGAATGAACAAAATCACTGGCCTATTTTACATATAAAATTGAATTTTTATTGAATAATTTATTTTGGCAAGGGATGAATTTGAGGATTGCATTTAGGATAGAAGCAAATTCTGATTATGAGAAGCAATTAGATTGACCCAATGACCGACTTACGAGAAGAACTTGATGAAAAACGATGAGGTGACAAGGGGCGACTAGCCGGTAGTTGAGTTAGGCAGACCAACGAATTTCCGGTGATGATGATTCCTTTTAATTAATCTCCATTCCTTGGCACTTGGTTTGAATGTGCAATTTGGTATTTTCCACCGGTGATACCAGGACGGGTCTCTTGTCAAGTGATGGCGCACGTCAACTAGTACGACAAAACGTGCAAGTTTGTCACTTTATATAGGATGGTATGCGGGGGATCGGTTTGGTCGGGCTGTAGCCGAGAGTCTGCGATCGTCGACGGTAACGTGACGTTGGATTGTTTGGATAATCGTGTACACGAGGTGGAAACGAGCAAGGGAACCACGATGTGGATCAAAAGGCTCATATCACCGACTCCCTCGGCCACTCAAATACACGCCTCGGGGCGAGGAGGGAATCACCAATACATCCACAGATATCAGCGCGTTCGATTGACCAGCCCAATTACACTATCACGAATTTATTTTTCATCTTTTCAATTTCGTCACTTTCGTTGAATTTCGATTGACGACCCACCCATCCCCAAATTTCCACAGCATCCGTAATAATCTCTTCAGAGAAATTATCTTTTCGATTTTCACGCGTGGACAATTTATGAAAAGTTACTTTTCTGGTGTGGATAATTCTCATTGAATAGGCTTTCGCCCTTTTCCCGTAATTACTAGAATTGGTGAAATTGGGAGGGGGAAGGAGAGAATAATAGAGTCTACAGTGCGTTGCTTGACGAATTTTTTCAGGGAAATTATTGATTGAAAATTCTTTGAAATTTCAAAAGGAAAAAAAATAAACAATTGTCGCAACTGCCATACGGACAATTTCATCAACTCGCTGTTTTTTCGCAATAATTTTCTCATTTTTCAACTAATTATCCCCATTCATAAAATCAATTAGACAGGTGGTTTTTCGCTGTAATTCCGTCTTATTCTGGAATTTTCCGTAATTACCGTTACATGCAATGCAAATGTCATTTTCGGAGCAATTTTGTCTCGTGAAAATTTTTCGAAATAAATGGATGCAAGTTCCTGCGGCAAATGAAGCTCAACACTTCTATCTGCATCGTTTATATACTCCAGGGAATGTCGATAATTGTAGCAATGTCATGATTAATTGGCATGACTCGTCAGTAGTGATATAATACATCAATTGACACACGTGATTACATTGATCCAGAAAACGTGTCGGATATGTTTCTGTTTCCATCACGAATCAGAAGCGTGAGATCCACCAACATTGTTGGCAATTTCTTCATGCCAATATATTCGTGAAAAGATTAATTGGAAGAATTTGATCATGTCTCATCGAGAATGATGCAAGCATGACACGTGTTGAAATTTTCTATGACGATGATTGCCAATTACTGATTTTAATAAATTCCTCGGCGCTAAAAACTATTCCCCTCCAGTAACATTACGAGAATGATGAAATTTCGAGAAAGGGGATGAGCTTCCTTCCTCAAAAGCGAAAATAAATTTATCTACTCGGAGATAAGGAAAAATGGTGTATTACTAATTTTCGAAACGATAAGAAAGCGAAAAACATCATTAAGCTGTTTGGTGAACGCGCCGTCTTGTAAATCGCTGGATTATCACTGGCGCATGAGAGAGACATTTCACCAGGAAAATATTGCGCAAATTCTATTGGTCAAAAAAATTGCAAAAATTTCATTGCGTCGTGGTGGAGAGGATACAATTGCGACACGTGTTCCACATTCGTTGTGGAATTATTCTCAAAGATCTCAATCAATTCATCATAATACATTTCCCTTTATTCATTCTTCTTCATTGAGATTTTTTATTGAGCTATAATTCATCGATATAGACAGCCGAAAAAAAAGGAGATGTGAAAGAAAAAATGCCTCAATTAAATAAAACATGGCCCTGTGTGGCACTCATTAGATAATCCTCATTAATTGCTTTCCACTTACTCATTTCAATAAATTCCCCGACTTTAATTATTATTCTTTCCTATTAAGAATATTCAAAGAGTACCAAAATTCCCCGGACGACGGATCGATTTTCCTTCCTTAAAATTAAATGCCGGATTAAATTTATTTATTCATTTGGTGGAAGACGAATTGATATGCAGTTGTTGAAAAAACACGAATACCATGATAAAATTTGAAAATCCCCGGAGTAATAAATAGCTGAATTACTCTGGGTACAGGAAATAGAAAAAAAGGGGGGAAATGGGAGTTCAAAGTTCACATGTTGAAAATTCTGTAGGAGGAATGTTCAGCAGACGTTCACGTTTCCTTGGAATCCGTCTGACGATTGTAGCACGTGCTTCTTCAAGCATGACTTGCTCCGATGGTTTAACGCGAACGTGATCATCCCATGGTGATTTATTTCCGAGGATCCTAAAGAAGAAAGCCAACTCACATACATCTAAATATATAAATCCGTGCGTTATCATTTCCATGAACAAGGGACGATAAATAGTAATCGACTTTTTGAGTGATTAAAGGTCTTCGACACTTGCCAAATTTTTATCTCATATAAAACGCCCTCGCGATACTTTTATACTCCTGGCGATTAGTAAATCGACTAATTTAAGTAATCATCGACAAATTGTTTATTGTTTTATTAGTTCCGCAATCTTCCTAGCAATAGACTGAATTTCTCCAATTTTGAAAGTTTAATTACTATATACGAGATATGACATAAAAAAATTAACTCATGTACTTTATGACTGGTTGTCTCAATGTTTCAGTTATATTAGCTCCGGAGATAAAGCCGGATTATTGTAGTTTAATAGTCATTGCAGTTACAGCCATAAAGAAATACTAAATCTTACTTAAATATTGCTTAATTGCTGAGGCATTATGATTCGACAGGTATCCGTTGCCTTCTCTATGTCAATTAATTTCAGAAATGATATTAATTTATATTTTACATATTTAATAACGTCATATAGTATCAGTGCGCAATATTCAAATTTGCCACCTTAACCATGAGCGTATGGTGTCTATTTTTTTAAATGAGAAATTAATTAAAAAAATTGGCGTACATCGCCATTATATCGAACAAACATGTGCAAATGCATTTGAAACCGAGAATTTCATAAACTTCGGGAACGGTGCTAGTTATAATAATAATAATATATGCCGATGGTAAAAAAGGATTGGTAAATGTTGGGTTAGTCACTAACCGTTATTCAACGGTAGATGTCGGATGGAGTTTGAGAGAGAATTTGAGATTTGAGCTGCTACCGCCGCTGCGAGAACGCATGCGCAGTAGCATTGAGTGGTTGTGACATTAACGCCAAGTACAAACCGGTGAGAACTCGACAGGAAGAGAGGAGCCAGACCCTCAACTGGTTCGACACGGTCCTCAACACAGCCAAGATGGCGGGTGTTTCATAGCTTTTGTAAGCAGCGTGGTCCGGGTGATAAATTTTTACCCCATCCCCAACCCTTCCAATCACTCAAAATTCAGTAAATAATAATACGTGTACAATTAGCGAAAGGAGGATGCGCGTTGGAGTGTTGTAACAGTGGATCATGCCCGTTGCAACGATCGAATGATGTTTAAAAAAGTGGACTCCCAAGGAGAGAAAAAAAAAACGTTTTTCCCGCGACGATTTGCCACGAAACGGGTATACGAAAAAAGGAACGTTTGTGTTTGGGGTCCACACCCTGAGGAATCCAGTGTTGTTGGGATCTGTTGATAGAGCGGTTGTGTAGTGTATGTTGACAGTGAAAGTGGAATAAAAAAGACAGTGGAAAAAGGGTAAACAAAACGAAATGAGCGCCGTGACGCCAAACGTTGTCGAACAACCGGCGGAATCGTGTCAGCATAGCACTGAGAGTGACGTTGATGCTATTATTGAGGAGAAAAATCGGTTAATAACACGTCAGTATGCAGAAATTGAACGTCTGCAGCGAGAACTCTCCGAGATCATCGGAGAAAGAGATGCGTTGCTCTGCGAGGTGTCAAAATTCAAATTCGAGCTCGAGATATCTGATCTCAAACGACTCCACGATGACAGGTCAGTCTCACATCCTATATTCTCTCTTTCATGAATATTTATATTTATTCTATCATTCGTCAATTATTTATTTGACTTTTCTGAGAATTGAGTAACCTTGCAAGGTCCCCACCGATAATTCTCTGGAGGTATTCATTTTTAGTGGATATTTATATTCGATTTCACAACGATTTCGAAGGATGAGAGTTAGGAGGCAATCTCCATGCATAATTTGTCAGAAATTTTCGAGATTTTTTTGTTTTAATCGGGATTAGTCATTGGGAAGGTCTCAGTACATTAGTCATGATTTTCTCTCCCCAATTTCGCGGTTCACGCAGGCGTTGTTTCGTGTTTTTCTTTGAAACATCGATAAATCAATTGTATACACAGGCAATTAAGTTGATGGACTGAAAAAAAAATGATGGAAATGTAGACAAACTGGGAGAGCTGCTCCCAAACCAACTCAGGCAAGCAGCCAACAACCCAATGTTGGTGATGTGTAATCGAATTAGTGTTTGGCTGAGTGTGCGTTGTTGGCGGGATTTTTCATTGATGGATAAGTTTTTTTTTATCCCACATTTTTATTGGCTCCATGCACACTGCAATATGGGCAATATCATTCCACAAATTCTCGGATGCATTCTACTACATTGCACACGTTCCATCCGGAATTTCGCTGAGAATTGTTCGGTAATAGTCGAGATGAAGACTTTTATATCGTGAAATTTCATATTACTCTGTTGCTCGAAGAAATGCTATGATATCATCATTCGACGCCTGGAAAAATCAATTTCCGGGATATTTATCTGCCGAACCGTGATATCGTTTATGAGACGATTGAAAGACGTTGCTTCTGTCGTCAAACATTTTTCTGATATAATTTGAACTGTCACGTGCAGGTAGTACTTGTTAATGGCATCCCCTGGAAATCGGAAGTGTGAGGATTTGAAAAGGTAGATGCGAGTGCAAATCACTCGATCGTGTTGAAAGCCATCAGTATGATAGCTATGATCGTTCTTCGATCCATCCACAAGTCATATTACGACCTATTTCCAGTGGCCAATTAACCTCCCCTGATGTACGCTTCTTGCTTCCGAGGTGCCGTGATTAGTTTCCCCGTTTAGTATCTTGGGTGCGGTTAGACTAATTAATTTTCCAATACGCTGGTGGTGGAAAAATTGATGGAATTATCAATCTCAAATGAGTCTCGAATTAATCAGTGACAAGTGACAGCATTCGATATATTGGAACCCAATGATTTCTTTGGAACGAGAGAATAATAAATAAAAGGAGAAATAGTCGTGACTTTTTGTCGCAGCAGAGAATCTAAACTTAGCCGAGTGTTCGATAACATATTCCAGGAGTGAGAGTCAGGGGACATGTACGGACTGTGTACAATGATAGGAAACATGAAATTGATGCGGTCTTTGTGACCCCTATATATACATACTCTCGACAAGGCCGGTTCTATCGATCTTTCACTCAACTTCATTCTATATTGGTGTATGTACCCAGTATGTAGTACTCATCGAATGGGCTGAGACATGTCCCAAGATATGCCGTCCTCGGATTAAGTGACAGTGAATAGTAAACAAGTCGGTTATGATTTCTTCCTCCACATTTCACATGTCAGGACCAATCGTT